TGGGATATAAATATTATTATAGTTTTATACCTTTGAAAACAAAAACAAGTTTCTAAGTTGCTGTCTACTATCAGTCATTTTGTGCATTTTTATTTCAATTAAACCTCACAATGTGACTCCTCATTTGAATACAAAATGTACAACCAACCAACCATCTATATATCTATCTATCTGTCTGTGCACGACTTCTTCTCAAAAACCGCCAAACCGTTTGACTCGATTTTTGCTGTGCGGATGCCTTGATGAGTGTAGATGGTAATTTGTTCATGAGAAGTCAATCTGCCAAAAATTATGCAAATTGCCCCCCCCCAAAACTCTAAAATTTCTTCTATGCTACTATAACACTAAGTGGTCTACAGTGCTGATATTGATAGTGCATGTGCCTTGGGTTATCCTCTATCAGTTTTGTTAATTTTGTGAGGAAATTTTCAATTTCTTAATTTTGGCGATTTTAAAATGATCATTTTTGGTCAAAAATTCTATTTTTCGACTTCTTCAAAACCGGTAGCCTGAATGCTTTGATACTTGGTGTGTATGTACCTTGTGTTGACATCTACTGGATTTGTTCATCCCATGGCCATATCTTTAATTCCCTAATTTTGGCAAATATTTTTGTCATTTTGGGTTAAAAATGGAATTTCAACTAACCACTATTTCCAATGTCAACTGTTTCTTATTCTCACATAGCGCATGGGAGTTCTAAGTTTTCTTTGATTGGTCTATTGTGATTGTAATGAAAGCATAACCACTCAACATATTTAAATGTGTATAGACATGATTGTTTTTGGTGGAAAATTAGGCAAATTGCCTAATTTACATACCAATATTTAGGCTATTTTGGTGATATCTTGAGAACCATTTAATATGTTTTAATAAAACTTGGTGCATAGATGTGTTGGGGCAGTTTCCAGATATATTTTATAGTTTTTGGTGGAAATTTATGCAAATTATCTAATTTGCATATCAGCTAGTGAAATTCAAGCTATTTAGGTGCTATTTCAAGAACCATTCAACATATTTCAACAAAACTTGGTATATACACGTATTACGAATTCAGATAATTGCAAATATCATGTTATGTTATTCTCTCAACACGCTGGAGTTCTTTTTAAGCTCTCTTTGATTCTAATTTTATTGAATATTTCTGTTATTTTTGTAAAAATTCCACTTTTAGCATGTGTTTTATTGTCTCACTCACTGCCTTTTGGAGTATTTGTCATGTACAGCACTAATCTTTTGTACAATAGCCATTGAGCAACAGGCCATTGGCCTATTTTTAGGAAATGCTTCTGGTTCCAATTTTTCGTCTGTTTTAAAACAATTCTACTGAAAATGTGTGAGATTGATACACTGTCAACGATCATGTCCCGCCATTTTGAAAGATGAACCCTGAGTTTTTTTGTACCATATATGAATGCATTCAATTACCAAACAGGTTAATGCAGGTTATTCATCAGTCAATCACTTGATCCTGTGTCATATTTAGAGCATAGCAACACAAGAATGAACTTTTACCATAATTTGTAGGGGAGGAGACCTACTTGAACTACTAGAACTACTTGTTTTTTTTCTGGGTGAATCCTTGTTATTAAAGGAAACATCAAGCTAAACAACATAATGACCCCTCAAGAAAAAGCTCCACAAATGTAGGAGAATGCATTTACAGGCTTGATGTTTCCTTTAAATTGGATTTGTGTGTTGCATTTGTTTTCACCAGCCACATCGTGTACTAAGCCATGGTTGTATTTAGAAATTATGCATTGGAACTCCAAATGTACAAGTGTAACACCAGTAGACCAATTGGTCAATGTTCTTTTGCTGGGTTCTTTCCACCTAATGTTGGTTTCATTGTTATTTATAAGTGGTTCTTGCCAGAGTCTTGGATGGATCATTTCTGTTTTGTTGAGAGGCTTATTTATCATATATTTCAATTGATGAAATCTAATCAACTGTCATTTTATTTAAATATGATACAGAGGCAGAAGATTATGAGTTTTATTCCAATTTCTTTTCTTTTTAGCTCCGCTGTCGACTTTGTCGAGCGGAGTTTATCATATGAGTGATTGTCCGTCATCGTCGTCGTCCGTCGTCATCGTCCGTGTCAATGTTTTACTTTTTTGACTTCTTCTTGAAAACTACAAAACTACAAGCCTGAATGCTTTGATACTTGTTGTATATGTACCTTGGGTAGACCTCTCTAGGATTTGTTCATTTCATGATGATATCTTCAATTCTCTAATTTTGGTGAATATTTTTGTCATTTTTGGTAAAAAGTGATATTTTCGACTTCTTGTTAAAAACCGCAAGTCCAATTGCTTTGATATTACATATATAGGTACTACATGTGGATCTCTCTCAGATTTGTTCATTTTGCAATGATATCTTCAATTCTCTAATTTTGGTGAATATTTTTGTCATTTTTGGTAAAAAGTGATATTTTCGACTTCTTGTTAAAAACCAATAGTTCAATTGCTTTGATATTACATATTTAGATACTACATGTAGACCTTTCTCAGATTTGTTCATTTCGTGTTGATATCTTCGATTCTATAATTTTGGTGAATATTTTTGTCATTTTTGGTAAAAAGTGATATTTTCGACTTCTTGTAAAAAACCAATAGTCTGATTGCTTTGATATTACATATATAGGTACTACATGTGGACCTCTCTCAGATTTGTTCATTTCGTGATGATATCTTCAATTCTCTAATTTTGGTGAATATTTTGGTAATTTTTGGTAGAAAGTGATATTTTCGACTTCTTGTTAAAAACTTTGATACTATACATATTGTTCATTTTCTAATGATGTCTTCAGTTCTTTAATTGAAATGTGCATTGCTAACAGCGGAGCTATCTCAGCCGATAGGCTGCTTGTTTGTATCCTGAGATCCTAATTCTTCCCACTTTTTTTTCAAATTGATACACATTGGGTGTTCTGATGAGAGATAGTAGCTACTCTATTGGTAATATGTCACTTACTTTATTCCAGACGTATAATTGGAAACAAGGATGCTACAAAGAAAACGGACCCACGCTCGACGATGATACCGACGGAAAAATCTGTGAAACCGTTGCAAGGGTTCCCAGCACCAAAAACACAACAACCAACGTCCTATACACCATCTCCTGCGAAACCACTTGCTAAACCAGAATCAAATGTTGATTTAGAAATGGATGTACAAGTGTTTATTGATAGTGGGAGATTGGTATTGCATCCCAATGCGATGGAGAATGGACAAGAGGAAGATAATCAATCTAAAGGACGGTGAGTTCAAATGAGTTACTGTATCCATGCAACATTTGCAGTACTCTTATCTTGATAAGCATCATGAAAGTGATAAAAAAAGTTAATTTTCTTAATAATGAGTTATTCAAATTATTTATAAAAAAAGTGTTCTCAGCAGTCATTCACAACTTTACATGGTGTCTCTCATCAAATAGAAGTGATGTATAGTACATTTGAGTTTCTTTGATCATGTTCATACTTTAATTAACCAATTCAAAACATGCAAACCAATATCATTAAAGTTATTAAAATTGATGCAAATGTTTTTTTTTTTTCATTTTTATCATGATTCAGGCATTCCAAGTTTGCCAAGGTGAACATTGTGAATGAAGTGTCAACACCACAAAAGAAAAAAAGCTGCATAAACAGAAATCTACACCGACTCCTGGTGGTAATTACAGACCTGTATTCCAAGGTACAAGTCTGACAGAGGTGACTGTGTTCGTACTACCAGCACTTGATGTCAAAGTAAGTGCAATAGAGTGTTATAGAGTGATTTATCATATAGAAGACTTAAGAGTGTTACAGGGTACAGTGAACAGAATGAAGGTTCCAAAGATTTGCAGAGTTGTGCTTGAAATTATGTAATAAAGGGCCACTCGCTGGCCATTTTTGAGTGATGACAGTGAGAGAACAGTGTTGCATACACTGATTCAATTGCAGTGCCTCAAAAATATTTGAATAATTTAAAAGCCATAATCCATCAACAAATAATTACTGTTAGAAATAATTACAAAATGATCCAAATGTGTAACTAGTTTTCTTTCTCATCAATAATAAAAAGATTAAGATAGATTGTTACATGTAGCATCTGAATGTGACCATTTCCTGCCAATTGGTTGAACTGCTAGAGGAAATCAACAAAATATTGTTTAGTAAAATCAGGTGATCTAACTAATTGAATGATGATAGTTTTAGTTAGGCCCTGAAACCAAATAGAAGACTTGTACATTAGTGTATTTTAGCAACACTTACACTGTTCTATTGAAGCAATCTAGAGTAAATGTCGGGGCTTAGACTTGATACAGAAAAGGTGTACCGGGGGTATAAATGATTCTGATTGTGATGTGTCAATTACAAATAAGTATTTTGTCTTCTATTTCCATGTTTTGGTTCTCTATTGTCCAGTATTGCATGATACACTGCCTTCATGTTGTACTGATTTAACAATGAGGTAAAGGCTGATAAAAGCACGTTAAAATAAAGGTCACAATAAGCTCTATATTTCCAGAAAATAATTGCAGAGAAAATGAGTGATTAGCTTAATACCTAGACATTTGATACTCGTTTGGAATTTGAAAACGAAATGCTGAACTATGTTGATGACTAATACAACTAAAACTATCACTGTGAAAGTATCAGCTTTACTATCTGTTTTCTATCATATGTATTAGTGTCAAGCAAACACAGTCTTGTATTCAACTGCATATACTGTACGTTGCTTATACTGATTCTAACAGCACTGGCAAATTAGTCTACTAACTTTCCTCAAGGCCACTAACTTTTAAGAGTCGGTAGCCCGAGTGTCTACCACATTATTTGTGGGAATTTTTTACATGGCTACAAATGCAATCAAAGTGAGGTGTGAATATATTATGTAATGATCTGTCACATAACAGCAACATCCTCTGTTATTGTTATAACGTAAGTTTCTATTTCTTTCTCCATTTAGGCACATTACAATTCTAAGAATTACCATGCTGAAGCATCAATGGGAAGACCTAATTTTGGGTCACAGTTCAGTAGCGATTCAGAAAGCAACCCGCCGACTGATAGTGCAGATAATACATCCCAGGGCAGCAAGAAATCTGGTGTGGTCAAGAGAGCTTCATTGTATGCGTGGGTGTTGCTGCAGACACCACCTGAGGTAGGTCAATGGTAACACTCATGTATTGTGTATTTTACCGATGCACCATTTGGAAGTATAAAGTGGAAATAACACACCCAACCTTAGATCCTTTAAACGAAGCTATTTAGGGAAATTTACAAGTTCAACAACACAAAACAAATGATTAACATCAATTGACAAAACAATCCACAAGAACAAAATACCGATAACTGACAATTTCTTATGTAACAGTCAAATGTTTAGAAACAAATCTTATTCATTGTGAGCACGAATTGATATCATCTTTAATACCTCTCATATTGTTTTGTTTCAGGAGATAGTCATCAGTCCGTTCCTTTTAGATTTCTTAGAACAGTGTCTTGAAACCATTCCCATACAAACGCCATCCCCAACAAAAGGGGAGAGCTCAGACGGTGTTGGAAATGTGTTCAACATCAACGATTTAGAAGCTTCTGCAACATCACTGGTGTCCTCGTCCACATATGATTATGCTACGTTTCCTGTTGACATTGTCGTTTATCTCTGCGTACAACCCTCATCAATTCGTTTTATATGTTTACCGCTATCGAGAGTGGAGTGTCTTCTCAAGTTACCAACCCTTGACCTATCTCTGTCATCACGACGAGCTCAGTCTGACACCATGGGATTGGCCTCAAGTGGAGAGTCCACCCAAGGCAGGATGAGATGTGAGACTTTGATTATAACATTGGTGTGCATGTGTATTTGATGGGAGCATGGTTACAATGTTGAGGACAGACAGAACTTATTCAATCAGTTTTTATTAGTTTTAATGGATGCAATTAATTTCCAAATATTTGTTGCTGTTTGGAATAAGAGAATAATGTATCCATACAATAATAAACTAACTAATATGTGCGCAGTCAGAGCAACATTTTGTTTTTTGTTCAGGCAGAAATGTATATATTAACTACAGATGTACATTTACAGCGTCATTTGTGAAATATCAATAACATGATGATGGTTATAATGACCCAGGATGTCACTGACAGTTTTGTTATTATATTGATTTTGCAGCGTTACTCAGAGGAACTTGCAATACTGCTCGCACTCGCAATATGAGTGGTCAGCGTACCCGCACCAGTACTGCTGGATCGGATGTCAGCTCTACTGCTTCATCACTGGTTGCCAGTACTAAAGAGGGTGGGCTCAGCTTCACCGCTTGTTTGTCTGAGTTCTCTCTTTTTATATTTCATCCGTATGGTGGCGCTCATACAAAGAAAACGGGGCTCTTTGATTTAGGTACAAAAAGTATTCCTTTTGTTTTGCTTCTAAGAATCGAAGTGCTGTTATTAAGTGACAGTAATTGATTGTTATATTTTTTGTGTACAACTATATGAATGTTTATTTGGTATTCATCTTTCTTGTGGAACTTTTTTTGTGACCACAGATTCAAGTAGTTTCAACATCTATGATGATAGTCAAGATCTGGAATGTGGTCATGATTTAACATTCTTGAGTGTCTTTACATTAATTGTAATACCACAGTATTTGATCTTTTGGAAGCACACAATGTAAATTTCCTGTTAACTGTCTACACTGTTAGTTTGATGTTACGCATGGATTACCATTTCCCAACTACCTATTTATGTTGTTTATTGAAAGGGAGCATTACAGAGAATCCGGGAAGCTCATTTGGCAGGAAAGATTCCCTGAGTCTCAACGTAGAATTTGTAAGAGTGAATCTGTGTCGCAGTCGACTTGGATTACCGTTACCAGCAGATATACACAGTAGCAGTCTTAGTCGTTCCTATGACGCCTTGAGCAGTGGTACATCTACGCCACACTTGCAGACGCCGCAGCATAGCAGAGCAACAGCAGTCGCAGGACCTTCTCTCATTAAATTCTCCAGTAAGTATTGCAGTTATGTTTTATAGTACAAACTAAATGTTGATAAAGATGAGAACATAAAACTTTAATGGCGTCTGGTAAAATCTTATTGAAACCACACAATAAAGGTGAGTCAAATTCCCTTGTATCAAGGGCGGATAAAGAGGTGGGTAATCAGCCTGAGTGACGTGATTAAGATCAAATTATAATTACGCAATGAGTTTGCACACATCATAAGACAAATTGTACATTTATATACAAAAACATGTACAGCTCAGGTGACTTTATAAAAATCTCACACATTGAACAAAATTAATTTTATTGAAAGTACATTAATATTTATTGAACTAGATTTATATGTGAGGTGAAATATGCTACTTATCTCAGCAGTTTGAACTCTGACTCTATTCGCTTACTTTATTTTAACTTTTCTTGCCTATTCCAATTATTTTTGACAGTTGTATGTGACATTGGTTCAGCGTCATTTAAATATGACATGAGGAGACTGACTGAGATACTGGCATTCCCGAAAGCATGGTACAGGCGTAGTATTGCCCGGAGATTATTCCTTGGAGATGAAAGTACACATATGATGTATCCGGATAATTTAAGTAAGATATTTTTGTCTCCCAGTGTTAGAGTGCCCTCTGTGTTGAATGTTATATTTTGTTTTGTTTTTACACTGCATTCTTTTGTACATGTAGTGATTGTCCATCTAACTGAATTTATGCTGGTTATTCTACCACAGATTTTAATCTTCTAATTTTTATCTAGGTTCCTCCGATTCGTCCATTGACCTAAATCTCTCAACTGGGAATATATCTCCTTCCAAGCTACGAGAACGTTCCCTACGCCACAGCATCCCAAGCACACCATTTTCAACCAAACCATTATCTCCTAAAGCACTTGGCAAGAAGTCTGCTGGTGGTGTGAGTCCTACCAGTCCTACAGCTAAGTCATTGTCATCATCCTCTTTCAATTCATCTCCTCCACCTGTTCCATTCCGGCAAAGATCACACACTGTCGCCACTGATTCATCAGGTAAATGTACAATTACATACTTAATATAAACAAATTTGAATAATTTTTTCCTGGAATATGTTGTTTTACTTTTTCTGTATTTTTTAATTTTTCTCTTTAATTTAAAACTGGTAATTTCACAAGGGAAAAATGTTTGTGAACACTTTACTTTAAGACAGTGAGTCACAGAAACTTTTATACATGTAGCAGTGAACACAGGCAGAGTAGCGGTTTTAGCAGTCAAATTTTGCTGCTGTCACAATAACTTTAATATAATTTTGTGTCTACAAATTTTCTTAAATCAACAGATTGGAGAATTGCATGTTTTTTTATAAATATCATGGTTGCACATCATTAGGCTTTAAAGAAAACAATTCTTTTTCAATGTCTTTTTATGTGAAAGGCAATGAGATTGCCCAAGTTTGCAGACATATGTAGATATTGAATGAGCAGACAGCCAATCAATTATGGCAATACACTTTATGCAGATTGTGTAGAATTTATTGTATATTCATGAGTATGTCAAAGCCAGTTTTATTAATTGTAGGACAAAAACTAATCAGCCTACTATCCCAGGATTTCTTCATCATTGATGTCATCTAATACTGTTTTGGATGCAAACTGTTTTTGTGTATTGTAATCTTTGCAACACTTTGGAAAATGTGGACGAAGTGAGGTTATTGGCTGAATTTAATAGGCTAAGTAGTTTTAACACCATGTGACCATATATTTGCCTACAACAGCACCGAGTTTTGATGTGATTTTACTGTACAGTGAAAATTCACAATGCAGTGTATTATTCGTCCATAACCTAACGATAGTTTGTCTTTCTCGCACATTACTGAATTCAATATTGCTTCAAAAAAGCTAAATTTGCATTTCTTTTCTCTAAATGTCTCTCTCTGATATTCCCTCCCATAAAATTTAAACAAATGTTTTCACATTAATTGTATTGTTGTATCACATAAATTGTATTGTTGTATCACATAAATTGTATTGTTGTATCACATAAATTGTATTGTTGTATCACATAAATTGTATTGTTGTATCACATTAATTGTATTGTTGTATCACATTAATTGTATTGTTGTATCACATACATTGTATTGTTGTATCACATTAATTGTATTGTTGTATCACATTAATTGTATTGTTGTATCACATTATTTGTATTGTTGTATCACATTATTTGTATTGTTGTATCACATTAATTGTATTGTTGTATCACATTAATTGTATTGTTGTATCACATTAATTGTATTGTTGTATCACAATTGTATCACAATTGCATGAATCTTTTATTGTTTATCAATTTTAAACGAAAGATTTAAAATTGTTTTTTGAATGGACAATGGCTGTAGAAGTATGTTTTAAATCTAATTGTCATATCATGCATGCTTGCATCAATCAATGACACTAAATGATCTATTGTATGTTGGGGTACATGGAAGCCTGCTCTTAATTGTTGAGAAAATTGGTAAAAAATCTCATGCCTAATCCTAACATCTTCTAGGTCAACAACAAAGAATGTTCTGTTTTGACCTGTCATTATTGACCGGCAGCATGAATTCAAATTGTGTATAAGCAATAAGTCGCGTGGGGCCCATATTAAACATGATGTGACACAAAGACTATATTGCTTGAAAAAACTTAGCCAATTGTTCTACAAAAGTTGCTAAAATATCATTTTTTAATCCTATATTATCCACTCTAAGAATTTGGAAAATTTTATTGAATATCGCTATAGCAACAAACCTATAATAAAAAATATTCAAAAATTTACTGCCATTTTCAGTGTTTTCTCAAAATAGATCGCCTTGAATTGCAATGAATTCTGGATATTTTAATTGCTTTACTTGGCTTGTTTCGTAATACACAAAATGATGTATTTAACACATGTGTGTTTGCTTCCTTTAGGATTTCTTCCTAGTTTTAACAAATTCCTAAGACACTTTATCACGACGGACCGCAATGCATCCTCTCATTCAGACGAATCCTCCTCGTCTGACTCTGTTTCATCTTTGCCGTGGTATAAGCGTAAATCTCTTCGAAGTATTCTAAAAGGAAAGAAAGGTAGACAAGTCTTGCGATGGTACCGCTTATCAATCGCATTGTCATCCTAATCAACATCAATAATTAATATTCACTAACTTCATAATTGCTAAATATAATAAAAAGTTTCACCATACATCAAGCATTATTATTGTTCATGGTTCCAAAATAGTATGTAATTAGTATATGATTCATCCATGGTTCTCAAAGGTACTTAATAATCTTCATAAAAGACATTGGTATATGCACCTCTAGCTTGCTCAAGAAAAATACTTGAAAGCCCTCTTAACTTACTGTAGATTATACAAGACAATGAAATACTGCTTTAAGTTAATGGCACAAATATTCACAATTTACAATCACAGCATTTGTATAACACATTTACGATGTTTTTTTTATCAAGAATTCATAGGAACTTAATATGTAAAACAGATTTGCTGTATGCATATTATCAAAGATTGTCAAAATATTTGCCATATTAGTTTTATTTATTATGTAAGCAACTCACAGTATCTCACTTATATATATATATATAAAACTGTGGCCATTTTTTAGTGTTCTGTATTAGACTGACAGTTGTAGTATACCAATGGTATATCCAGTATTTCCAATACATTTTATCGACATTAGTACATTAGGTTAGAGCATATTAAAATTGATCTTCGTTTCATAGAGGAGTGCTTGTTAAATGAGATTTTGTAGTTTGTCGACAAATAGAATCTAGCAGTTTTTCATTTTCTTGGACAGACCATATTATAGATAAATACTGGTATGCATTCTATGATGTACATGATTTCAATTCTTTACAATATTATAATTTTAGACTCTTCATCTATCATTGTGGTGTCACATCACATACAAATATTAACACACACACAGACAGACATTACAAAAGCAGAAACACAGCACACACACACACACACTGTGACACACACACAGACAGACATTACAAAAGCAGAAACACAGCACACACACACACACACTGTGACACACACACACACAGACAGACATTACAAAAGCAGAAACACAGCACACACACACACACACACACACACACACACACACACACACACACACACACACACACACTGTGACACACACACAGACAGACATTACAAAACCAGAAACACAGCACACACACACAGACAGACATTACAAAACCAGAAACACAGCACACACACACTGTGACACATACACAGACAGACATTACAAAAGCAGAAACACAGCACGCACACACAAAAATACACATACAGACAGGCAGACAAACACATGCACAGACTAGCACACAGATAAATGCTAAGACTGAGAAAGACACACATGAACAGACACAACGAACAGACACACAAACAGGCAGACAAACAGGCAGACTGTTAACAGCCTAATCAGACATGGTGACATTTTCTCTTGAAAGGTGTAATAACTATAACATGTACTAAACCCAACTCAATTTCTTCATCAATACTGTAGAATGCTTTATTATTGCTTGGAAATATTTTCACTGGAGTGGTTAATCATTAATACTAAATTCCAATGAAGAATACATTTGATTCATAACATAACTTGGCATCAATAGTGAAAATAGACTACAGCTTAGAGAAAAAATTAATTCCAATGAAAATAATGTATTCTACAGTGATGAACTATTTTTGTAGATTACTTTGAACAACCTTTAAGTCATCTCATTCCTCAAACAGCTAAGAAAGTTGCATCAGATACCGAAGATGAGGACGCTGCAAAGAAGAGAGGGAAATCGCTGCATACGTCAACGCCAACCTCACAGACTAGCAAAGCGTCGCTGCAGTGGGAAACGTTAGTGGTGTTTGCCGTCAATCTGACGCATCTTGACGTACAGATGAATATGAGTAACGTGATGGGAAATACAACGTAAGTATGTCGCCAACGACATCAACGCTGCAATCAGTGAAGTACTTTAATACCTGGTTGTTTTGGTATTTGGATAATGATATGGTTTGAAATTAGAAACATTATGGTTTAGTTTTCAGGGTAAACAGTCACAATTCTTATTAAATTTTGCTGTAGGTGACTTTATTGTGACTTCAAGATTATATCATATTTGAGTTTGTTTCTTATAATATCATTTGACAGAACAGGTTCATCTTTTGTACTATCCCAGTATACAATGAACCTACTAATGCTAGCCTTCTGTCAAGCATAACGTCATTGTACAAGAGTTATTTAAAATGCACTCTGCCATAAACTACCGGTATTATATACACAACGGTAAAGCATAGTGGAATGCTATGCAGCATCAACTCCAAACAGACATGTGCTTGTTACAATTATGCAAGTACATGAACATTTTAAAAAACAGTATATTATGATCAGATTTTAAGTGAGAATGACAGAAACTGATATTTCTTCTAACACATTGTCTTTGGGAAATAAGTCACTTGCTTTTTTTTAGTATGTAAGCAAACTATTTGTAATGCGTGTGTAAAGCTATATAAGGCTAAAAAAATGCAAATCCAAAAAAAAGAAAATTGTAATTTTTTGGGTAATAACAAATTGAAAATTTGCTCTCTTTTTTTTCACTAAATAAGTAGCTCTAGCTAACACCAACTGATTTTCCAAAACAAAACCTGAACGTGTTTTATATGAAAGGATCACTTTTCTATTACCTGTAATAATCTTGTTTCTTATGACACCAAGTTTAATATTATGTTGAACTAAACCATGTGCTGCAAGATTTCATGTTTTTCTTGTTGTAGATGGTCCACTGGTGGTTTGAAAAGCCAAGGCAGAATATCTGTTGACTACACTGGATACAAAGATATGAAAATATCAGCTGGCCTAGGTAGTTCATCATTGGATGCCAAAGGTGGTGTGATAGGGGGTCTTAATTGAACTTGATGATATTGATACATTTCGTAAGTACATAATTGTATTAATTAGTTTCTCTATACACCTTGTGCAGTACAGGGTAAAAAAAAAATGATTGTCTTTGTTCATTAGTCGTTCAATGCTCCTGTCCTCGTTGGTAGTGTTGTCAACGTTTCTATTATTTCATATCTCTCATCAGTTCACATACTAGAAGAGCCAGGCAAAGAACCTCAACACAAAGCTGGGGCTAAAATGGTGAAGACGGAGTTCCGCATCGACTACATGGGTTCTAGTATAATTATGGCTAGACTGAAGCTCTTAGAAGTGGTATGCAAAGACGAATGGAAGTTGAACTTTGACACAGGCCCTGATAAAGTTATTAGCACAAACAGGTAAGCATGTCGTGCAGATAGCACATTATTGTTGCCATGGAAAAAGTACACTTGATGGTTAAATACACTTCTTGTATATTAGTCTAAGTTACTTTTGAGTGTTTTGTTCCTCACAGTTCTTGTATGATCTTTAACCTTTTGAACACCATAATTTTTCCCGCCAAAATTTTGTTTGACATTTTTAATGTATTTTTTTTAATATCTTTGTTAATTTTGAATGAAATAAACATAATTTGAACAAAAAAAAATATGAAAATAATTAAGCACGTTGTATTTTGTGAAAGTTGAAGGGGTCAATATTGATTTTCATTTTTTGTGTTTTTCATCCTAGGCCGATGTCTATCTTCATAAATACGGAATTAACATGGGATAAATTCCAGATGATGATATCACGGTCAACTACACCAGACCTCATTAAGATCACGTACAAACTGGAAGAATTCTTCAGTCAGCAGTTCAACAGCAGTAAAAGAGTTCTATCCTCTCTGGAACCGATGGCATCTGGCAGGCGAAGCAACAGAGACAGTATTGCTAGCAGTCAGGAAAAAAACAATGAGTTGGAAGGTAGGTAGCGATGCATTTTGTAATTGTATTGTATCTGCTGAGGTTTTACTGTTTCCACTCCAAAAATAAAATTGGTGTATCATTATTTTGTTATCAACTCTGTTACGTAGCTGAATGTAATATATAGTACTGGTACTGGTATATATCATATTTACACATGTATAATGGTTATCTCATAGCTGTTGTTGAAGTCGCATGCATATCAAAATGTGGTGAAAACTTGCATACTTTAATACCAAACGCTTCAGCGTGGTATTAAGAGTTTGTTTTCAGGGGTGGGTGATACCAAGG